ACACCGTGGTGTAGCGCGTGTAGTCGTCGACGAGCACAAGGAAGTAGCGCTCACCGCGCGGTCCGGGGACGGGGGCAGGGCCCCAAACGTCCAGGTGCAGGGTCTGAAGGGGGCAGTAGCAGGGCGCAGCGAGGAGGAGTGAGGGCACGGCGGAGCCGGCCCTCGACGCAAGGCGTGCACGGTGGCGCAGTCGAGGGAGGAAGGGCGGGGAGCGACACAGGGAGACCTAAGACAAGGCCGTGCTGGGACATGTGACGCAGACGAGGGAGAGCAGGGTGACCTAAGCGGTGGTGCTAGAGAAGGGACGGGTGAGTGAGGGGAACGACACGAGCAAGCTGCAGCAACCTGGGAGGATGCACCAACCGGAGGGGAGGCGGTGTCTAGGGTAAACAGACCGGACACCGGGTCCCTGGGGAACGTCGCAAGGGGGGAACCTGAGACAGCCTCAGAACAGACAGCGAACCGCTCGTGCCCGGGGAACGTGGTGGTGACGCCGAGGTCCTGGAGACAGCCGACACCAACCAGGTTCCTCGAGAATGAGGGAACGTGGAGGCCTGTAAGGGAGCCCGAGGGAACGGCTGGACAGGGAAGGGACATAGAACTGCGAGCGACGACAGGACCCGCAGAGGGGTCGGCGAGAGAGACGACAGCTGGCGTAGCAAGCGGCGTAAGTGCGGAACGGTCGCGGAAGAAGCAGGCAGAAGCACCGGAGTCGAGAGTGAAGTACAGCGCAGCAGTGGCAGGGGCGGGGAACGGAGCCGGTGCAGAGACGAGGCTAGACAAACTAGGCAGTCCTACGCCTGACGCAGCAGGGGAGGCTAGGCTACACAACGGTGCAACACCTAAACTAGAGAACACAGGATAATAAGATCCAGCAACACTAGCAGCGTCAGAATACATGGCATGCAAAGCAACACCTATCTGATCCATGTCTAACTCAAAGATCGGCACGCCCTGGCGGAGCAGGCTGTGCCAGTCGGGGAGGTCCGGGGCCGGGCCAAAGCGACGACGAAACAGATCGTCGAGGCGGCGGAAACAGCGGGCAGTCGGGTGCGGGCGGCGGCACAGAGTGCCGCGAAGGGGCCCGGTCTGAAGCTGGTACTGACAGGTGACAGTACCGGAGCCGCTGGTAGACGCCAAGCTGCGCGGGCCGCCACCACTGCCACCACCCCGGGAGGAGCCGGGCCAAACAGGCGGGAGGCGAGCCCACTGCTGCGGGGGCTGCGGCGGGGACGACGGCTGCTGCTGGGACGGCGGCTGCGGCGCGGGCTGCTCCTGCTGCGGCTGGGGCTGCTGCTCCTGACCACCAATGCTAGTCCCCCCAGACGGACTACGCTCACGACCACCAGCACCACTACCTGCACCACCACCCCTACCACCCTGGCGACCCCGGCCACTGCGGCGCGAGCGCTGCTGCGGGTGGACCGCAGCAGCCGTCTCGGTGAGAGGGGTCGCCGTGGCGACCGCAGCCGAAACGTTAGTGAACGTGCACTGGGAGGGGGCACAGCCGTGAAAGATAGAGACTGCCGGCGCACCGCTCGACTGAGCGATAGTGCGTTGGCGAGTCTCGATCTCGGTGAGGGTGTCGACAAAGGCAGTGAGAGTGAGGTCAGTCGGGTGCAGGCTAAGGAAGTGATCGCGAGCACTAGCGAGGCGGTCTGGCAGGCGCATGGCAATAAAATAGAGCGTCATGCAGAAAGGGGGGGGGAGCGCAGTGAGCTGGGCAGCAGTGCTGGCAGTGCGATAGCGGGTCTCTAGAGCACGCAGGTGAGTGGCAAAGTCTGCGACGGTAGGGAAAGCTGCAAGCTCTGGGAAAAGCATAGGGAAGAGCAGGCGACCAGCAGAAGCAGACGCGGGTGTGGAATAGCGGGCAATAACAGCGTCTAAGTAAGCTTTGGCCGTCTCAATAGTAGCAAAACGCAAGCGCTCAGAGACAGGAAGCGCATGGCTAATGGCTACCTGAGCGACTGCATCGCGGGAGTCCCAGACCGCACGGGCAAGTGCAGTAGTAGAGAAGGTCTCACGGTCATCAGAGGAGGGATCAGCAGGGAGGGGGGCAGGTACAGGGGGGCGGGGAGCAAGCCGTCAACATGGACAACCAAAGAGTGGCCATCCTGACGCTGACCTGTGAGGTGGCGGCGGAGATCGGAGAGCCAGGCGGCGGAGATCGGAGAGCCAGGCGGCGAAGATCGGAGAGCCAGGCGGCGGAGATCGGAGAGCCAGGCGGCGGAGATCGGAGAGCCAGGCGGCGGAGATCGGAGAGCCAGGCGGCGAAGTCAACCGCATGGCCCTCAGCGTCCAATCGGAGCACGAAGTCCGCCATCGTGCAGGGTCAGCGGCACAGCTCCACAGGAACTCAGCTACAGCCCCCTCGAGCACAGTGGCCATGAAGCGCCTCAGCACGGGCGAGCGGAGGAGACGGAGCCCGAGGCGGCACAGCAGGACGAGCCGGGGCGAAAGGGGCAGGCAGGGACGGTGGGGCCAGGCAGGCATGGCAGGGCCAGGCAGGCATGGCAGGGCCAGGCAGGCGCGGCGGGCCAGTCAGTGGCGGCGGGGCCAGGAGGCACGGCGGGGCCAGAAGGCGCGGCGGGGCCAGGCAGGTGCGGTGGGGCCAGGGAGGCGCGGCTGGGCCAGGCAGGCGCGGCGGGCCAGCCAGGGGCGGCGGGGCCAGGAGGGGCGGCGGGGCCAGGAGGCGCGGCAGGGCCAGGAAGGCGCGGTGGGGCCAGGAAGGCGCGGCGGGGCCAGGAGGCCCGGCAGGGCCAGGAAGGCGCGGCAGGGCCAGGCAGTGCGGCGGGGCCAGGCTGGAGCGGCGGGGCCAGAAGACGCGGCGAGGCCAGGCAGGTGTGGCGGGGCCAGGCAGTGCGGCAGGGCCAGGCAGGCGCGGCGGGGCCAGAAGGCGCGGCGGGGCCAGAAGGCGCGGCAGGGCCAGGCAGGCGCGGCGGGCCAGTCAGGGGCGTCGGGGCTAGGAGGCGCGGCAGAGCCGGGCAGGCGCGGCGGGGCCAGAAGGCGCGGCGGGGCCAAGCAGGTGCGGCGGGGCCAGGCAGGCGCGGCAGGGCCTGGCAGGCGCGGCAGGGCCTGGCAGGCGCGGCAGGGCCTGGCAGGCGCGGCAGGGCCTGGCAGGCGCGGCAGGGCCTGGCAGGTGCGGCAGTGCCAGGCAGGCGCGATGGGGCCAGGAGACACGGCAGGGCCAGGCAGGCGCGACGGGGCCAGGCAGGCGCGGCGGGGCCAGGCAGCGCGGCGAGGGCCAGGCAGGCTCGACGGGGCTAGGCAGGCACAACGGGGCCAGGCAGGTGCAACGGGGTCGAGGAGGCACGAGGGGCCCAGGAGGGGCGTGACGGGGCCTAGGCAGCGCGATGGGGCCCAGGGGGGGCGCGACGGGGCCTAGGAGGCACGATGGGGCCTAGGAGGCACGATGGGGCCTAGGAGGCACGATGGGGCCTAGGAGGCACGATGGGGCCTAGGAGGCACGATGGGGCCTAGGAGGCACGATGGGGCCTAGGAGGCACGATGGGGCCTAGGAGGCACGATGGGCCTAGGAGGCACGATGGGGCCTAGGAGGCACGATGGGGCCTAGGAGGCACGATGGGCCTAGGAGGCACGATGGGGCCTAGGAGGCACGATGGGGCCTAGGAGGCACGATGGGGCCTAGGAGGCACGATGGGGCCTAGGAGGCACGATGGGGCCTAGGAGGCACGATGGGGCCTAGGAGGCACGATGGGGCCTAGGAGGCACGATGGGGCCTAGGAGGCACGATGGGGCCTAGGAGGCACGATGGGGCCTAGGAGGCACGATGGGCCTAGGAGGCACGATGGGGCCTAGGAGGCACGATGGGGCCTAGGAGGCACGATGGGGCCTAGGAGGCACGATGGGGCCTAGGAGGCACGATGGGGCCTAGGAGGCACGATGGGGCCTAGGAGGCACGATGGGGCCTAGGAGGCACGATGGGGCCTAGGAGGCACGATGGGGCCTAGGAGGCACGATGGGGCCTAGGAGGCACGATGGGGCCTAGGAGGCACGATGGGGCCTAGGAGGCACGATGGGGCCTAGGGAGGCACGATGGGGCCTAGGAGGCACGATGGGGCCTAGGAGGCACGATGGGGCCTAGGAGGCACGATGGGGCCTAGGAGGCACGATGGGGCCTAGGAGGCACGATGGGGCCTAGGAGGCACGATGGGGCCTAGGAGGCACGATGGGGCCTAGGAGGCACGATGGGCCTAGGAGGCACGATGGGGCCTAGGAGGCACGATGGGGCCTAGGAGGCACGATGGGGCCTAGGAGGCACGATGGGGCCTAGGAGGCACGATGGGGCCTAGGAGGCACGATGGGGCCTAGGAGGCACGATGGGGCCTAGGAGGCACGATGGGGCCTAGGAGGCACGATGGGGCCTAGGAGGCACGATGGGGCCTAGGAGGCACGATGGGGCCTAGGAGGCACGATGGGGCCTAGGAGGCACGATGGGGCCCAGGGGGGCGCGACGGGACCTACGGGGCACGAAGGGGGCCAAGGAGGGGCGCGACGGGGCCTAGGCAGCACGATGGGGCCCAGGGGGGCGCGACGGGGCCTAGGAGGCGCGATGGAGCCCAGGGGGGCGCGACGAGGCCTAGGAGGCACGATGGGGCCCAGGGGGGCGCGACGGGGCCTACGGGGCACGAAGGGCCCAGGAGGGGCGCGACGGGGCCTAGGCAGCGCGATGGGGCCCAGGGGGGGCGCGACGGGGCCTAGGCAGCGCGATGGGGCCTAGGCAGCGCGATGGGGCCCAGGGGGGCGCGACGGGACCTAGGCAGCGCGGTGGGGCCCAGGGGGGCGCGACGGGGCCTAGGAGGAACAGAGGGGGTGGCGGGTCCTAGGAGGCACGGGCAGAAGCGGTAGGTGGAGGGGAACCAACCTACGGGTGATACCATCTCAAAGAAAAACTGAATGATTGGATAGAGGGAGAGAACAAGTGTATATACCTAAGAGTGCTGTACCCTCTAAGAGGTGACCCTATACAGTCTATACAAATATGAGTTATACATATATTTGACACCTCGAACATCGACACTACAGAATGTAATATGTCATGTCACTCGGTTTCACTGTACCGAGCCCAATAATATCCGCTATAAAACATATTCTCGACTATGCGAGCATGTGTGCAATGCTCCGACACACATAAGCGAGTTTCCAGGAGATTGCATGCACTGAACCCCGTGTTTTGTCATTAAATCCACAACACTGCGTCTGTAGTGTGTACGGTATACATCTACTCAACTGGGTTCTTCTTCCCCCATCTTGCTTGGGTTTCTAGCCCGCTACAACTAAACTGCTTCTCCTACAACTCACCCCAGCCAGGTAATCGTGCTTCGACCTCCTCCACCCCCACGCCCTTCCTGATGCTTATCGCCTCCCCCTCATAGTGCCTCTGCAGCCGCTCGAAGGCCGTCACATCCAGCCGCCCCCCTGCCCCCCTGCTCGCCCCGTGCTTCCTCTCGTGCTGCTGCTGCTTCACACTGCCCCAGAACGCCTCGATCGCTGCCTGCTGCCGGGCCGTGAAGCGTTTCCTGTGGTCATAGGCGTGTTGGGCCAGCATGTCGATGGCTGTCTGCGCCCTGCAGGGGAGGGGAGAGTGAGGGAAGATGACATTATGAGGCGCCTCCAACACACGCCCCCCCAGCGCCTCCATTGCTGCCCGCTGCCGGGCTTTGGTGGTCATTTGCGTGCAGAGCCAGCATGGCCATGGCTGTGTGCGCCCTGAGGGGAAGGGAGAAGGGGGGGCAGGGCACCAGGATGCTCGGGCGCTTGCACATGTATAAAAGTGGAGCAGTGTTACTGCCGTCTGTCGTCATAGGCGTGCCGAGCCAGCTAGTTGATGAGCCAGCAGGGTTAGTGTCTGCGCCCTGCGTGGGGAGGAGGAAGGGGGGAGGAGAGGAGGCAGGGACAAGGAAGGGAGGGGAGAGGCTGGCAGGGAACACACGAGGCGAGCTCTCATCATATGGCATTGTCAACAAGCGAGATACTCACAGCACGTTATGTAACAGCACTCATGCCTTGCAGGGTATTTTTGAGAATTCTTAAAAATACCCAACAAACGAGATAATCACATCATGTAACAGCACTCACACCTTGCGTTTGACTCTCAGCAACATGTGCACGTTGTGGGGTTTTCAAGCACAACCTTTGAGGCGCCTCAAAAGGTTTTCAAGCACACTCAACCCTTGTGCCCATGAACATATGGCGCTCACCACTTGTGCACACCAGCATTTCGTGCCCACACACACCACTCGTGCCCACACACACTCACCACTTGTGCCTGTACATCTCGGTGGCCGTCTGAATGCACAGCAGCAGCGCCTCCCTCCTCTCCCTCAACAACCCCCTCTCCTCCTCCTCCCCTCGCCGCCTCTCCTCCTCCTCCTCCCTCCTCCTCCTCTCCCTCTCCTCCCTCCTCTCCTCTCTCCTCTCCTCTCTCGTCGCCCTCTTCCTCTCTATCATCTCTCCCAGCCCGAATGGATCCTCCTGCTCCTCCTCCTCTCCCTCTCCCTTTCCTCCTTCTCCCCCTCCCACTCCCCCACTCATCCCCAACATAGCATCAAGGCCAAAGGGATCTGCACCATCAGCAGGATCTGCACCGCCTACCGCACCATCTACTGCACCATCTACTGCACCATGTAGGCCAAAGGGATCATTGCCTCTCTTTCCTTTCTTATCCTCCTCCCCCTCCTCTCCACCCCCCACTCCCCTCTCCCCCTCGCCTCCACTGCCCCTCCCCCATCCACTGCCCCCTGACAATCTTCCCCCTTGCGTTCCGCACCCCTTTGCCCCTTCTCTCCTTCGATCTCTCCCTGCTTCTCTCCCTCCATCCCCCTCTCCCTCCCCTCCACTTGCATCGCCACCCCACGGAACACACCGGCCTCCTCCCTCTCATCCTCCTCTACTGCTTCAGGTAGTTGCTCCACCTGCTGCTGGACTCGAGACACAGCCTTGGAGAACTGGAGGGGCGGGGGAGGAGGAGGGGGATGGAGCAGGGCGGCAGAGAAGCAGTGAGGGCAGGAACGAGCTTCTGGTGATTTCTACCCCACGGAACACACCGGCCTCCTCCCTCTCATCCTCCTCTGCTGCTTCTGGTAGTTGCTCCACCTGCTGCTGCACTCGAGATACAGCCTTGGAGAACTGGCGGGGTAAGGAAGGCGGGGGGATGGAGCCGAGGGGTGGGGAGAAACAGCGGGGGTAGGGACGGGGGGAACATCGCTTTGGGTAGTTTGTTCGACCTGCTGCTGCACTGGAGATACAGCCTTGGCGAACTGGAGGGGGCCAGGGGGGGGGTGGGGGGAGAGGTAAAGAGGACGGGTGAAGGTAAAGAGGAGGGGAGAGGGTCAAGAGGAGGAGAGGGGAAGGGTGCGCAGGCAACTCACGGTCAAAACGGATGTGACAAGAGCCTACCGCCTTGATCACCGCCTCAAAGCTGTCGGCCGTCCCGAGGGAGCGGTTGAGCACAGTGCACAGACCCCATACCTCTTTAGAAGTACCCCCATCCACAGTCACTCAAGCCCCACCTGCTGCCCCAGCTGGCAGCCCCACCTGGCAGCCCCACCTGGCAGCCCCACCTGGCAGCCCCACCTGGCAACCCCACCTGGCAGCCCCACCTGGCAGCCCCACCTGGCAACCCCACCTGGCAGCCCCACCTGCTGCCCCACCTGCTGGCCCCACCCCACCTGGAAGCTGTCGTCTGTTCGCAGGGAGTTGTTGAGCGCGGTGCGCAGCCCCCACACGTCCACCTGCTGCTGCTGGCGCGGCGAGAAGAGCTGCAGGGAGCAGTATGGGGGCGAGCAGGGGGGAAGGGGGGGGGATCAGGGTGTACGCTTGGAGGTGTGGCGCGCCGCCCCCACACGCCCACCTGCTGCTGCTGCCACGGCGAGAAGTGCTGCGGGGAAGGGAGTAGTATGGGGGCGAGCAGAGGGGGTTGGATTTGAGGTTGCAAGGAGGGGGGGAGGGGAGACGGAGAGAGGAAGAGGAGGGGGGTATGTGCAATTTACTCCTATTCTCTCAGGCCCTCACCACCACACAAGGAGCCCGAACACACAACTGCAATCACATCCCTGCTTTCCCCTTCGCCCTCCGCCTCTCTCCCCCTCTCTTCCCCTTCCAGCTCCCCCTGATGCCTTTCTCCACCCTTTCTGCCTTCACCCCCCACCCCCCCCCCGTTTCTCTCTTCCTGCCTCTCATCCACTCACGTCCTTCCTCTCCTGTGCAGCAGCAAACAGCCCTTCCACTTCATAGTCCCCTCTCACGCCCCCCGCTGCCTTCATCTTCCCTCCCCTTTCACTCGTGCTGCCTCGCATCGCATCTCACGTCCTGCATCTCATCCACGCACCTCCTTTCTCTCCTGTGCAGCCGCAAACAGCGCTTCATACTCCCCCCCCACGTCCCCCGCTGCCCCCACCACCATGCCACCCGCCCCGCCCCCCTCGCGCCTCAGCAGCGCCATTGCCCCTTGCAAGACGCCAAAGAACTGAGCCGCATGGGTACTGTTCACTGCACTGTTCATGCCGGTTTGGTCACTGTTCAGTGCGCCGCCCTCCAGAAGCTGCCGAGCGAGGCCGGCCGCCTTCTTGAACTTGGCCGGCGTGCCAATGTGGGCAGCGATCTTGGCGATTGCCGACGTCACCTTGTCCTCTGCCACCTCAGCAAACGTGTGGAAGCGCACCCGGCGGCGAGATGGGGCTGGGGAAGGGGAGGGGGTGGGTGGGGGAGAGACGATAGAAGACAGGGGAAGGGGAGGGGAGGGGAGGGGAGGGGAGGGGAGGGGAGGGGAGGGGAGGGGAGGGGAGGGGAGGGGAGGGGAGGGGAGGGGGTGCGTGGGGAAGGGAAGAGGGATGGGAAGGGGGAAGGGGGAAGATTAGGCTCAAGGGAAGGAGGAAAGGAAAGGGATGAGCTAAGCTGTGCGAGGGGAGGATGGGATGGGAAGAAGAAGATAGCTACGGTTGAAGGTACAGAAAATAGGGTCAGAGGAGAGGTGGGCGTATAGATTGAGAGACTAATGCGTGGGAGGGAGATGTTACACCAGCATTGACAGTCAACGAGGGTCACACAGAGTCAACGACAGTCATAGATGTCGCCGCCTGCCTCTCCCGTTACGCCTGTCAACGACAGTCAAATACGCCTGCAGCATGATCCGTACCGACGCCGCCTGCCTCTCCCGCGCGAGTGCCACTCTCACGCGTCCCCTATGCGCGGCCTAGCTGGCTGACCTAACCATCGGTGATGCAACAACCCTAACCCTAAACCTAAACCTAAACCAGGACAGTGAGAGATTGAAGTTTGCAGCATGATTCGTACCGTCGCCATCTGCCTCTTCCGCCAGTGCCACTCCCACGCGCTTCCTCGTCTTTCCGCCTTCCCCCGATCCCCCTTCCGGGCCCCCATCCGCACCCGCCGCGCTCACACGTTTCCCCCCCTCTCCCCCGCGCACTTCAGCGCTCCCCTTGAGCGACGACTTGAGCGCAGACGGCTTCGGCGCAACTGCGCCAGCGCCTGCGCCGATTGCGCCGACTGCTCCGCCGCTGGGTTTGCGAGAGGCAGCAGGGGAAGGGATAGGGGGATTCGCTGGCTTGGGCGCTGCGGACGGCGGAGGCAAGTCGCCGAAGAGACTCATGGCGACGCGGCGTGTGGGGTTCGCAGCGAGGGGCGCGGATTGTGGGGCTCGTAGCGAGGGACGCGGCGGTGAAGGGACGAGGAAGGGGAAGGCGGAAGAGGAGAGGATTATTCGACGGTTATGGATGCGGGGGTGGAGGGAAGGCGGACGAAGAGACAGGCCGATGCGACTCGGATCGGGAAAAAGAAGGGCGAAATGAGGCGTCAGGTTCCGGGAGTGGCGAAAAGAATTGCCGACGCAGAGGATTGAACTCTGGACCTTCTGTTTACAAGACAGATGCTCTACCACTGAGCTACACCGGCTTGCGATCGAATGCGTAAAAACAAATTAAAAAAATAAATTGACAAAATTCGCCCTCCCTCCCATTTTCCATGCGTCCAACACGGCGTCGCGCCATCCGCCATCGGCCACAGCACGCGTGTCGGCCAGCTACCCTCGCCTCTATTCCCGTCGCCATGCGCGCGTCGCGTAATCTCCTCCTAGTACCGCCTGATAGCCCGACAGCACACCGCTCCCGCAGCGCGCACAGGCCGACATGGGATCAAATCAGCCGAGGCGCGTCGGCTCGCTACTCCCTCGTGTTCGCCCATCGGCGCGCCGTCGCCCTCCCAAACGCCATAACTCCCCCCATATGCCGGCCCTTCTCCCCCTCGTCCTCCGCCGTTCGCTCGCCCTCCACCTTTCGCTCATCTCCCCTTTCCGCCCTTTCTCCACGTCTTTCTGTCCTCGCCGCTTTACCACGCGATGCCTCTCCGAGAGATTCTCCCCTCAGCCGCCTTCCCCACCCGGCCGCTGAGGATATTGCGCCGACTCCAGTGCCTCGACCCACCCTGGGGGCGACAACTTGCCGAAACTCTTGGAGACCATTCTTGTTCGTTGACTGGATGTGTTCACTGGTCCTGCTGCAGATAGAGAGTACGGGCCTTCCTTGAGAGTCTAGGCGCGGGCCACGGAGTACCAGGAACATCGGAGTATGCTCTAGTACGACTCAGTAGTACGGCTCGGAGCGTCGGGCCCTCCGGCGGAGGGGCGTGCGAAGGAAGGGTCCGGAGTGGGCGATAGGGAAACCGCGGGACCGTTGGCGCAACCGAGGGACCGTTGGCGCAACCGCGGGACCATTGGCGCAACCGCGGGACCATTGGCGCAACCGCGACGGCCAGATACCACCGAGGCCACTATGGCGTCCCTTTTGCTGCTCGCGCCTAAAAAATTGCCCCCTGCATGCCTTGCTTCTCGCGCTGCAGCAGCTGCAGCACGCGCGTCCTCTCCCGACCCACGGCACCGTCGCACCAGCAGCGTGCGATGCCGTCGCCCCGTGCTGCCGACCTCGCTTGCTTTCGCACGGCCAGAGCTGAGCGGCCGACGGCGCGGCGAAATCCGCCCTGGCTCTGATCGGACGGCGGGGGTCGGTCGTGAGAGGGGCGGCGGTGGAGTGGCGGCGAGATGCCCGAGGGAGGGCGCGGAGGGGGGAGAGGAGCGAGCTGACGTGGCGGATGGGGGAAAGACTGCCCAGCTGGAAAAGTCGCCAGTGAGTCAGCTGAGTCCGTCTACAGTCAAGCATCTTCGCAGCACCTTCTCATGCCAGTCCACTCATCAGTGCCTCACTCGAATCTAGCCCACCGTCCGCATATCCCATGGTCCCAACCCATCTCCTCCTCTCCCCTCCTGCCCCGGCTCTTATTTCCTTCTCTCCGCCATCTCTCCTCCTTCCTCTCCCACTCCCCCTCATGCCCTCATCCTCCCCCCCTTTCCTCCCCCCTCTCCCCCCCCTTTCCCCCCCTTTCCCCCCCCACTTCCCCCCCCCCTTCCCCCCCACCTTCACCCCCCCTTCCCCCCCCCTTCCCCCCCCCTTCCCCCCCCTTCCCCCCCCCTTCCCCCCCCCCTTCCCCCCCCTTCCACCCCCCCTTCCCCCCCCCCTTCCCCCCCCTTCCCCCCCCCTTCCCCCCCCTTCCCCCCCCCTTCCCCCCACCTTCCCCCCCTTCCCCCCCCCTTCCCCCCCCCTTCCCCCCCCTTCCCCCCCCTTCCCCCCCCCCTTCCCCCCCCTTCCCCCCCCTTCCCCCCCCCCTTCCCCCCCCCCTTCCCCCCCCCCTTCCCCCCCCCTTCCCCCCTTCCCCCCCCTTCCCCCCCCCTTCCCCCCCCTTCCCCCCCTTCCCCCCCTTTCCCCCCCCTTCCCCCCCTTTCCCCCCCCTTTCCCCCCCCTTTCCCCCCCCTTTCCCCCCCCACCTTTCCCCCCCCTTTCCCCCCTCCTTTCCCCCCCCCTTTCTTCCCCTCCTCCTCTCCCCCCTCCTCTCCCCCCTCCTTTCTCTTTCAGCTGGCGGACCAATCCCTGGCTGCCACGTGTATTAACACCATTCGCATGCTGGTGGTGGACGCGGTCAACAACGTCAACGCGGGCCACCCGGGGTCCGCCATGGGCCTGGCGCCACTTGGCGCGCTGCTATTCGCCGAGGAGATGCACTTTGACCCCGCCGACCCTGCGTGGCCCAATAGGGATCGGTTTATCCTGAGCAACGGCCACGTGTGCCTGCTGCAGTACTGCCTGCTGCACCTCACGGGGTATAACATCCAGGTGAGTCTAAGTATTCTGCCTTGTGCACTTGTTGTACGTGTTGTATGTGCCGTCTAGCGCTCATATGTAGCAACGGCCACGTGTGCCTGCTGCAGTACTGCCTGCTGCACGTGGCGGGGTACAACGTCCAGGTGAGAGTAACTATGCTGCGAGCAGCGCTTTTTGTATGTATGTGACCGGGCGTTCTATACAGATTCGACTAGCAGTCAGGGTTTCGGGTTTAGGGTCAACGGCCACATGAGCCTGCTGCAACGGACAGGGTGCAATATCCGGGTGGTTTCCCCCTGTTCTGGACAAAAGGCATGCGTGGCTTGCTGGAAAGCTCCCGTTTCCTCCCTCCACCCCCCCCCCCCCCCCCCCCCTCTCCCACCCTGTTCCTTATCCCTGGCAGATGGAGGATCTGCGGGGAGCTCACCCGGGGCATAGAGCCCATGACGGCCCCCCTGGGGCACTGTGTCTTCCTCCCACCCCTTCCCCCCCCGGCAGATGGAGGATCTTAAAAAGCTGGCGAAGCTGGGCAGCAAGACGCCGGGGCACCCTGAGAACACGCTGACTCCGGGCATCGAGGTCACCACGGGCCCCCTGGGGCAGGGCTTTGCGAATGCGGTGGGGATGGCGGCTGCAGAGGCGCATCTGGCTGCTCGGCTGAACACAGCTGACTTCCCCGACCTCATTGACCACCACACGTGAGTGGGAGACGACTTTCTAGGCAGTCGGTTGACCACGGTTGACTGTAGTTGCCATGGTTACATCAACTGTCCAGGTTCTCTGTATCTGCTCCTGTAGCTTTCTCCTGCCCGCCCTGCTTCATACCCGTCCAGGTTCGTTGTATTCGGCGACGGGTGTGCGATGGAGGGCGTGGTGCAGGAAGCAGCGTCGCTGGCGGGCCACTGGGGGCTGGGCAAGCTGATCGCCTTCTATGACTCCAACCAGGTGCGCATGTCAGTGCTACTACTGGGTCAAATCAAGTCAAACGGGTCTTAAAGAAACAGCAGCATCGCTGGTGGGCCACTGGGGGCTGGACAAACCGATCGCCTTCTATGACTCCAACCAGGTGCGCTTGACTGAACTTGCAGATTTGATTTGATGGCGGTGAGCTTTCGTAACCACTGAGCTCAGCTGCTTTTGTCCCCATTCCTAGTGCATCGCATCTCCCATCCCCTCTCCTCCCTTGCCGTCCTGCCCTTCTCCTCTCGCCCCTTCCCTGCGCGCCCATGCTGTGACCCATTCTTCCGCTGTCTCTCCACTCGGTCCCTTGGCGCTTTCCCTCATCCGCCAATCAGGTCACCATCGACGGCAGCACCTCCCTCGCTTTGTCCGAGGACGTGATCGGCCGGTTCGCCGCGCTGAGGTGGCACGTGCAGCGAGTCACGGTGCGCGACGCCGCTGACCTGGACTCCATCCGCGCAGCGATAAGGGAGGCCAAGAGGGAGACGCAGCGGCCGTCGCTGATTCAAGTGGACACCGTCATCGGGTTCGGGTCGCCCAAGAGGCAGGGCACCAGTGCGGCTCACCACGGGGCGTTCGGCGAGGAGGAGACTAAGGCAATAAGAAAGGCGCTCCACTGGTCTGACAGCGAGCCGTTCACTGTACCCGACGAGGTGTACCAGTGAGTCTCTGCCTTGCAACGAGCTGCTCACTGCATGTGAGTCGCCGGTCAATGCTTTGTGCTGCACCCTCTCTGCGCGGTCACCCTCTCTGCTTCAGTCCCTGCGAGATATTTTTTATTTATTTTTGAGGCGCCTCAAAAATAGACTCCAATGCTTTGTGCTGCACCCTCGCTGCTTCAGTCCCTGCGAGATATTTTTAGTTCTGAAAAAGCCCCCCACCCATCTCCCCCCCCCCCCCCCCCCCCGTCCTCTCTCCTCCTTCCCTTCAACCATCTCCTCCCGCTATCCCCTGCCTGCTCTCTCTCCTCCTTCCCAACCGCCAATCAGAGCCATGCACCTGGCTGCTGCACGCGGCCAATCGGCAGCTGCTAGCTGGAGGGACCAGGCGGTGCACTACCGCCAGTGCCACCCGGACCGGGCGGCTCTTTTGGACGCACTCACGGTGCCCGGGCGGCTGCCAGCTTGCTGGGAGGATTCTTTACCAGTAATATTTCATTGGCCAGTCGTGGAGTGCGTCATATTGACGCTGGCACTGCCAGCTGCCTCATATTCAACCCCATTGCCTGTTTGCTTGGCCACAGAACTCCCTCCTGTCTCCTCCTCTCCTCTCCGCCCTTCTTCTGCCTCATTTTTTCCGTTTATCCTCTCTCCGTCCTCTCTCTTCCTCCCTCTTACTCCCCCCCACCAGTCCTCCTCCCCTTCCACGCCGCCCGACGCCACGAGGGGATACTCCGAGGCGTGCCTCAACGCGCTCGTGCACTCTCTGCCTAACCTTCTGGGCGGCAGCGCTGACCTGGCGTCCTCCAACAAGGTGAGGCGCTGGCGTGGCGCTGGGATCAAGAGCCCTGGCATGGCATGGCATGGCATGGGGGAGTAGCACACCCTTGCACCCTGCAAGGCGACTTTTGAGTCGACTCAAAAGACATGGTGCTGGGATCAAGAACCGTGGCATGGCATGGGGAGTAGCACACCCTTGCACCCCGCAAGGCCTTCATTGCAAAGTCAGCTCAGCGCCGTGCCACGACTCAGCGTCCCTCCTTCACTCACCTTTTGCTCCCTCCATCCCGCCCGCTCTGCATGCCGCTCGTCCTCCCAGGTGGCGTTCCACGGGCTGCCGGACTTCTCCCAGGGCTGCTTTGAGGGCAGAAATTTCCACTATGGCGTTAGGGAGCATGGCATGGCCGCCATAAGGTGGGCTGGCTTCCCTGCTGATGCCATCAGGTGAGGTAGCAGCATGGCGTGAGGCAAGCGTGCAGAACCTATATCCCGGATGATAGCTCGCTCATGTTGCCAGCTGAAGGCCCAAGGATGTTAAAAAACGAGATTGGGTGAAGGAACGTTGTACGGCTCTCGACCAACGGTTGTCATCTGGAATAGGTTCTGCAGGGTTGTCGTTCTCAAGGTTGTGCTCAACCCTTGGAACATTCTCCTGAACCCTTGTCGCGCCGCCCTCCCCTCCCCTTCCTCCAGCAACCCCTAGGAAAAGCTACCAAAAAGGAGAACTCATTTTTCTCTCTTATCACAAAAGCTACCGGACCTTTTCCCGCCACTCCTCCCTGGTTCTCCCCCACCCCTCTTTCAATCTTCCCCGGCCCCCCAATGCCCCCCCAGTAACGGGCTCGCCCTGCACTCACGGGCGCTCATCCCAGTGGCCGCCACCTTTCTCGTCTTTTCCGACTACATGCGGCCGGCTCTGCGCCTCGCCGCCCTCTCCGCCGCCCGGGTGCTCTTTGTCTTCACGCACGACTCCATTGGGCTGGGGGAGGACGGCCCCACGCATCAGGTGGGTGGGTTTTTTTGTCTCATTAGACGTGTCTTTGTCCTGCCAGCTGGTCTTATCCAGAGGTATTACCCATGTTTTCCCTGTCCCTTTTCCTCCTTCCCTCCATCCCCCCGCCACACACAGCCAGTGGAGCACCTCCCCTCGCTCCGAGCCATCCCCAACCTCCACGTCATCCGCCCGGGCAACGCCACGGAGACAGCTGGCGCCTACGTGGCGGCAGTGCGGCGCAGCGTGGGGCCCACGGCGATCTTGCTGTCGCGTCAGAAACTGACAGCTCAGCTTGAGGGGTCTAGCAGGGAGGGGGTGCTACGAGGGGGGTATGTACTGGGAGGGGGGGAAGGGGAAGGAGAGGAGGAAGGGGAGGAGGAGGGAGAGGGGCAGGAGAACGGAGGGAAGAGGGGAGATGGGGGAGGGGGGGGAGGAGGAGGAGGTGGTGGATTGGATTTGATTTTGATTGCATCGGGGTCTGAGCTGGTGCTCTGCCAGGAAGCTGCTGAGAAGCTTCGTCTGGAAGGGTACAGGTGAGTGAGCCCAGCTGATTTTGCATTTGCATTTGTCTCTGTTCTTATGAGTCGACTCAAAAGTCGGCTCAAATCAACTCAAAATTGTTCACTCTCAATCTTTACAGCCGCTTCATAACCCCAACCTTCCCCCCCCCCATCTCCCCCCCCCCCCCCCAACACCCTCACCACCAACACTTATCTGTGCCAATACACACTGGAAACGTTTCCCTTGTGCCCACACACTTAGGTTGTGTCGTTGGTCTGCTGGGAGCCCTTCAGGCAGCAACCTTGGGAGTACCGACACGAGTTAACTCTGCCCTTGCCACCTCCCCACTCCCCCCCCTCTCTCCCCCTCCCCCTCCCGTGTGCATGCCAGCAGGGTGCGGGTCGTGTCGCTGGTCTGCTGGGAGCTCTTCCAGCAGCAACCTCAGGAGTACCGAGATGCTGTGCTGCCGCCACATGTCACCAAGCGATTGGCTGTTGAGGCTGCGCGTTCCCAGGTAAGTTGTTTTGGCTTCATTTTGCTGCTTGTACAGCTCAGTGTGCTCCTCTCTCCCACATCCCCTTTCCTATTTTTTCCCCTTGCCTTCCTTAAGGCTCTGTCCCCTCTGGTGCGAGCGGGTAGGACTCGCTCTCCTCTCTTTTGAGTTAGACTGCTCAAATGTTCCAGTCCAGAGGCTCGTGTCTTTTTCCCTCCCCATTCTGTTGCTGCTGATCCACCGCTTGCTCAAATCCGCTAACTCTCTCACGCGCCAACTCTTCTCTCCCTCACAAACTCTCTCTCTCTCCCGTCCCTAACACATCGGTTGCCCTTGCCTCGCCCCCTACAGGGCTGGTGCGAGTGGGTGGGACCGCAGGGCTCTGTCCTCTCTGTTGAGCGATTCGGTGCCAGCGGCCACTACCTCGAGGTGTTCCACAAGTTCGGATTCACTGTAGAGAATATTGTGGAGCAGGCTTATAAGCTGTTAGGGAAGAGTTAAGTAGAAAGGCTACGTAGGGTAGGGAAGTCCTAGTAGGGTCAACAACGGTGCTTGGAAGGACAGTTTAAGGCGGTGCATAGCTCTGCCGATGGTGAAGCATGTTTTTGAATAACGGATGTGAATAGATTGTGGAAGCTCCCATCAAATCTAAGCACCTCAACCCACAACCCTCAATGTTTTCCTACAATACCTCCTAGCACCGTTCCGCTCTTCCTGCCTCACACGTTGAGCCCTGATGGATCACCTCGCCTGTAAACAAACTGCCTAGGCTCTTTTTTGTATCCACTGCTCGTGGTCTGAGTGTCGCTCACATGACCCGTTAGAGTGTGCTTCTAGGACCTCTTACCTCAGACCAGGGCTTCAGATTGGCTCAGGGTGCCCCCAGCAGGAACCCCCATTTTTCAGGGTCTGGTTTTGAAAGATGCATATTTTTCAGGGTAAAAAAATTTGAAGGCTGAAAGTTCAGGACTAAAGATTTACAGGCCTGACATGTTAGTGTTGAACTTCTGCATTTTTTTTTGGGTGGGTTTGCTTTTGACCTAGCACAATGTGTTAGACTGAACGTTGACTTGTTTGTTTCAATGTTTTCATGGTATACACTTGGTAGTTTAACAATTTTAGAAAAGCACAGCCTATGGTGCTGCTGCTGCTGCCTTTTGTGTTGACTTACTGCCGCATACTACTACTGATGCTGCCAGCCACTCTTGCTGCTAGAACTCTTACTGCTCTTCCTGCTGCACCCAACTGCTCCATGTGCTGCCGCTGCTGCTGCCGGTGTTGGTGTTGTTGCAGCTGACGCTGCTCCTGCTGCTGCTGTTGCTGCTGCTGCTGCTGCTGCTGGTCCACCTGCTACTCCTCGTCTTCGTCTGACTCACTTCCGCCGCTGCTGCACTCCTCCTCACCCTCTGATGCATACCAGAAATCCTCATCGACCTCTCCTCCACCAACCCCCCCTCCTCTCCCCTCCTTGTTCCCCTCCTCCAGCTCCTCTTCCACCTCCTCCACTGGCCCCTCATCCAACTCCTCCCCTGGCCCCTCCACCACCTTTTCTTTCCCCTTCAAGCTCTTCACCCGACCTCGGGGGTGGATGCGGGTGGAGAACTGCTTCCGCTTCTTCCCTCGAAACACCTTCACCACCTCCTCCCAATCAGGCTCGTAGTCGAGCAATGCCATGCTCATGAGGCTTTCGAGCGTGGCGTTTCCTAGGCTGCCTCGGCACCAGCTCTTGATGATGTTCTGCCGACTGAAGCCGCGCTCACACTCCACCGTAGACAGTGGCAGCACTGCGACCGCGACCCACAGGCGGCCCAGGTTCGGGAAGGCTTTTGTCCAGTCATCCGACTTCAGCATCGCCGCCAGCCCCTTCGTAGAACTTCCGCTCCCACACGGGAGCGCCTTTTAGTAGGGAGATGAGAGTCTGCAGCTCCCCAGTTGCCGCCCTCTTGTTAACACCTGCACAGAATCAGAGGGCGCAAGGGGAGGAGAATGCGTGGTATAGATGCAGGCCGTTAGTATGGGGATAAGGATGACACGCAGGCATGATGCATGGTTACAGCTGGGTTCATGCACGGTTAGCAACGGCTTACCTGGCAGAACCTCCCGACGCCCGGCTGCGCGGAAGAGGTCGAACAAGCTCTGCAGCCAGTCCATGCACTGGCTGTTCCGCTCCTTCCTCCCTGGCGGCCATGCTTCCGGGGTGAAGAGCCTGCACCCGTTGAGCTTCTCCAGGTCGCCCAGCCGCTCAACAATGTTCTGCTCAGTCGCCTTGGCGAATCTCATGCAGATGACGTCGCCGCCTTGATATAGACGACGGTCCTCCGAATAAGGCCCTGGACGACCGTCAACTCGACCTGTGGTAGGAGAGGGCTTGGGCAGATACCTCAGGGAGACACACGATTAGACAAACATAATAGGACCATGCAAGGAACCAACCTGGCGGGCTTGGAATTTTTTGTTGTGGCTGTTCAGTAAGCCAAGCATGTCAGCCAGAAAGTAGAGGAAAAAGTGAAACTTGTAGCTTTTTACGATGTTATACATCTCCTGGTCATACTCAAGAAGTAGAATGACCACAGCTGGTAGCTCGTCGACAAGGCGGGCGATCGCCTCACCTCGAGATAGCCAGCGTATATTGAAAATACCATGCATCTCGAGGTTCGTCTGGGTGAAGACGTCTTGGAGGTTGTTGAAGCGTGCGTGCTAGTTTCCAGAGCGACCCAGCAACTCAGCAACGGTCCGGATGAGCTTGTCGACCACTGCTAGCTCTAGAACGGCGGTTGCAGCATCCTTCGCAGCGAGGGCCTCCTTGCGTACACAGCAGAAACAGCAGAAGCATCAGCGTTGTGATCAAACAGTAGCTGGAGAGGCACAGCGAGTACAGACACCAGAGTCGTCAGAAGTCATGGTCTGGTAACGGGAAGTGAGAGGCAAACACATGCACCGTGGCTCACCTGTGAGCTATGCAGTGGCAGGACACCAGCCACGGTGACATGGCACGCATGCGAGTGACGAGGCCGGTGTTGGAGCCCATCATGACAGCAGCCCCATCCGTGCTGATGCCGGCAATCTTGTTGGGGTGCACGCCAATCTTGGCTAGATGTTCCTGGATGAGAGCATGAATAGATGCTGCATCGCACTGTTCCAGTGTTAGCAAGGCATTGAACTCAGTCACAACATGCCCATCACGGAGAAATGTTACAAACAGAATCAAGTGTTTCCCTTGAGTGCGGTCAGTCGACTCGTCGCAACTCAGCCCAATGAAGGGACTCGAGTGAATGTGGCATAGCTGAGAAGCATGAAGCCAGTTTGACAGAGACTGCATCAGTTGCGCAAAGCCGTACCTGCATGGGGTGTAGAGCTCACCACGTGAGACAAGGCATTCGTAGGCATAAGTGAGGAGCGGGCAAAAACATTCACGTCATAAACTAACGAGGTATAGTAGGTTCCGTAGCTCTTTTTTGGAAAGTCGGGGCACTTCCGCTTCGCTAGGAAGCAGACGAGCTTCACCCAAGTGTTGATCGGCGCGTCGCACTAGCAGATGAAATGCAGGACCCACAGCAGGGCGATGAGTCGTCCCTTCTCGAGATCTTGGGCCTGTGGGAAGTCTGATATCTTCTTCTGCTTCTGAGCGTCTTCCATGGCCTTCCTCTTCGCCTTGATGCATGCCTTGTGCCGTGTTGACCGGCCATGCCTCTTCATAGCCTGTGTCTGCACGTCAACTGTGCCCTCCCCATCTCGACCATATTTGGTGCCCAAGACGCCATGATCTGTACACACACTACATCGCAGGGATGGAAGGCCATTTTTAGTACGACATAGGAGCAACCAAGGAAACCGCTCTTGCCAGTCTGACTTGAAATTTTGCAGAGCTTGAAGATACAACAAGTCAGCAGCCTCTCTTAATTCCTTATCAGCGGTGGCTGACGACTGGATGCGCGACTCTAGTGGTGTTGTAGTAGAAGGGCCGGCCACTGGAGTCGCACTCGTTGGCGTAGTTGACGCGGCACCGCCTGCCGACTGCTCGGCATGACGTGTTGTCGTTGCCGGAGAGGCTGCATCCACCAGTGGAGCACATGACGGCTTGTGCCTCCGTGATTGAACGGTGGCACGAGCTGTGGAGAACGTGATGGCGGCAGGATGTTTGTCGACGGTCGTCGGAAGCCGAAACGACAGCAACGCTTGACGGTACGTTCGTTTCCGGGGAGAATTAGGCGCACCGCGATCTGCTCCACTACCGCCATCACCGGCCGCTCTGACTGCCTGCCCTGCGTCGCCTTCTGGGCTGCGAGGGTGGGGCGGCACACGGCCAGCATCACCACCCGGGCTACGTGGGATCAGGGAGAATTGCGGAGCATCGTGAGCCGGAGAGCGGGGCAGCGGCGACCAGCCAGCGTTGTCACGCACAGGGCTGCGCACAAGCGTGAACCCACGTGCAGCCTCGGCAGAAGGGATGCAAATGCAGGGAGAGGAGACTGAAGCCACCACCGGCAGGCTGTATATGCGAGGAGAAGAGCGCGCAGACTCGCGTGCAGGACTGCGCATGACGGGTGACGCGCGGCCAGTGTTAATCGCGGGGCTCTGAGGCGTAGTAGACGCAACAGCAGATCTACGCTGCGGACTGCTAGGCAGGGGAGGGAAAGGGTCGATACGAGTATCGGCGACACTCCACACGGCGCCTTGCCTTGCAGGGGGCACAAGAACATCCAGCGCTGACTGTGTTACAGGCAGGGCACTGGCTTGCCCTGCGGCCTCCTTGCTGCTGCGCCGTTTTGAGCCTTGCACCTGCCATCCCTCATCGTCGCTCATGGTGTGAGATGGTGAGTGAGAGACGGTCGAGCAGGTGGTGCAGAGAGACGACACATAGCAGCTAGCGAAGGTGGGGCAAAAAAACTGAGTGAGCTACAAGCCTTTTGCTACGTTTGCCCGCACCGCAAGAAAGCGATGTACCAGGAGGAGCATGCTCGAATGGGACGAGGAGGGGTTGAGTGGTGGTCGCACGCACCACGCGATACGGTGTGGCAGCGTGCATGCCAGCTTGATCGAAAGATGGGTGCATCGTCGTCGGCCTGGCAGGTAGCGGGTGCTCAGTAGTAACACGACACGACCCCCGATTGGTTTGTAAACCCCTGACTTCGCCCTAGACCAATCCTGCTCCTAACAGCTGTTCCAGCACACCCTCTGCTCCACGAAGCTGCTTGTAATTTTGACTAGGGACCAATCACCAGCCTCCTCTCACGTGCTCTTTGACGAGGGATGTGTTTTTGGTTAAGGACCAATCACGCCCCTCACACGTGCTCCATAACACACCCCATTCCAGCCGCGATTGTCGGGGGGGGGGGGTTTTACCGAAAAGACTCTGTTTCAGGCTGAAAATCCGTTAAGGCTGATAATTCAGGGTGACCAAAACAAGAACATACTAAAATTCAGGCCTGCTCAAATGAGAACCCCTAAAATTCAGGCCAAGGGAAAATCAAAAGCTGAAAAAACAAGACGACCCTAAAAAAACACCCTGATATACAGCATTTCAGGGCATTTTGTCCTGACTTCTGAAGCCCTGCCTCAAACGTGGTACCTCTTTTCAGACTTGTGTTGCACCGTTCCCAACCACAATGAACCAGCTCCTGTGAAAATTGCTTTGTTCAGT